TAGCATTTAAGGATTCTATTCCTATGGAGTAGAAACTTCCCTTTTTAAAGGCTAATGCGAAGAACCTGGATCACTATTTGTTTTACCAGGTCTAATTTCTACAACCGTTATTTCAACGAACGTACAGCTACCATCCAGGAATAACCAACTCTTGAATTCACACTCCTATTATCTTAAGGTGTATCACAGAATTCTCAAGCCCAAGTTTATTTAAATTCACTTTAATTCAGTATGTGCCTCAGCAATTTCAGAGAAGATAAAGGAAGCAGAAAAAATTATGGCAATGACAGACTGTCACCAATTCAAAAGAATCAAGGACAGCATGACTGACAGAAACAGTGTGAGCTCGGAAGTCAGAATGACTAAGGCTGGCCAGCCTGTCCTCTCCTGAGAAAGTACCTCACAGTGGTTAAAAACAGTCCTTCCTGGGCCAGGTGGCTGGAGTCAAAGCCTAGCTCCTTCATTTACTAATGATATGACCTTGGACAAGTTACTCATCTTCTCTGGACCTCAGTTTCCCCTGAGGGTTTTGCTGTCCGACTGTGTATTTGTGTCCAGCCCGGTATATAAATGGAGGTAATAATACCCTATCTACCTCAGAGGACTACTGAGAAGACTAATGAGTAAAATGCTATAAAAAAAAATGTTTGCTGTCTTAGGCAAGCAACTTAAGCTTCCTCATCAGTTAAATAGGGTAACTCCAGGGCACCTGGGTGGCTCAGTCAGTTAAGCCTCTGACTCTTGATTTCAACTCAAGTCATGATCTCAGGGTCGTGATTTCAGGGTGGTGGGATCAGCCCACACCACACGGGGCTCTGTGCTCAGCAGGGAGTCTGCTTGAGAGTCTCTCCCTCAGCCCCTCCCCACCACTCTTGCGTGTGCACTCTAAATAATGAATGAGTGAATGAATAAAATCTTTTAAATAATAATAAAATAAATGGGGTAACTCCTTCTTCATAGGATTATTTGAAAATTAACAAGCTGAGCCTCTAAGAAACCTATCCCAGTGCCCTGCTAAGAGCCAACACCAGACACCTGATTTATGCTTGGTGCTCAACGGTAAGCTATACATAGGATATCTCATATAATTTTCACAGCAACTCCATGAAATTGCTAAAATTCACTCCCATTTTATTCACTCAGATTAAAACAAGGTGAAAGGTAAGTAACTTGCCTTAGATCGGAAAGTGAGCAAATGGCTGAGCCTTGAGCCTTAAGTTTAAGTTAAATGCATTTAACTCAGGATCTTTAATTGGCACCTTGCTGAAATGACTGTTGTAAAAGACATTTTTCAGTCAGTTGGGCTGAATGTCAAAGACAACGGGAATGACTTAATTTTGTAAAGTGTGATGACGGTATTATGGTTTCATGGAAGAGTATTCTCATCTTCTGGGAAGTAAGCTCAAGTATTTAGATATAAGAAATTCTGATGTCTAATTTCTTTGAAATGGCTCAGTAAAAATATTTAAGTTTTTTTTGTTTAATGGAAGACCTTTCAACAGTAGGAAAAACATGACTAAGAACAAAGCTTACAAGTCCACTCTCAGCAAGATATGTGTTGCTGAGAAGAGTATATGAGAGGAACAGAATAGCTAAATGGTAGGCTCATTTCTCCTGTGTTAAGCTCACTTGAGAAGGGTTTCTTCATTTTGTCAACAAATTTCCAAATCATTCATGACCATAATCAAATGCTTTGAAGATACAGACAAAATGCATATGATCAAAAAAATTTTTCCACTCTTACATACAAAAGATAATTTTCAATAGTTTGTTGATGCTTTTTACTTTTATTTTTATTTTTTTAAAGATTTTTTTAATTTATTTATTTGAGAGAAAGAATGAGAGAGAGAGAGAGCATGAGAGGGGGAGATGCTTTTTACTTTTAAATTATTTAAAAAAATCTGTAGAATTGTAAATCTTAACATGCATTTGTAGCTGGAGTGGGATCAGAGGAGAAGGGTCAGAGTATTTTCCGTATGGAAGCTATTTTTTAGGACAGTCAGCAAAAAGAGCAGACAAGCTTTCCTGAATTATCATATATTTATTAGAGAAGTTTTAAATCGACATGGAAAAGAGCATGAGAAGACAAACATTTATTATTTTTTAAAATTAGGCACTATTTTGCCTGTTGCAAGATTCTGACTTACTGTATTCTGAGGCTAAGCATATTAATTATATATCTGTACCATTTAATAAAAGCCTTAAATATGGACTATCAAGAAAATCTATTCTACCTAAGGTATAACTACTTCCTCTGTAGGTCCCCAATTTGAAGTCACCAAATTGCTTTATTTGTAACACACCTTGTCTACTTCCAAAAGGTATCTGTAGGACTTCAAACATAAAGCCATCAGAAAAGAAGATAAAAGATCAAAATTCATACTAGAGGAGGGGTAAATAAATCTAGCAAAAGCTAGGCTAACTATGACTACTGTAATCAAGCAATAATTTTAGCTCTGAGCTTCCAGACAGTGGTTGCAAAAACCCCATCAACAAAAAGGCAATCACAGCAAGCTCTGCAACCCAGAGAGAAACCTTCTTCCAAGCATTAACATTTAAAAGGAATTTTTCAGATGGGTCATTACATAAGAACTTGAATAATATAATGGACAGTGTCCACAAATGGCAGTTTACAGCCCATGCAGCCCATGTTCTTATGGGCTTACATTTCATGTCTCATGCCAAGGTCATTACATTAAAAGTAATCCCGGGAAGGCCACTTCTGCACTGGGCTAAAGCGCCACAGCTTTCTGATTCTCTAACTGAAACCAGAACCTGTCCTCAAATACCCATTGTCTCAACTGGGCTTCTGACAGCAGTCGGGGCGGCCAGTTCCATGCTGAACTTGCTCGGAAAGCATGAAGCAGACATAGTCATTTCTTGCTGGTGATTCCACCCCAAATCCTTTTGCTTTGGCTATCAGATGGGGTAGGATGCAAAGCTGACATGCTGCGGGTGAAAAGGGAGAGGCCAGGCCAGTATTCCCAAGGGATGGAGCCAAGGAACCCAATGTAGGGCAAGTGGAACCAATCTCCAACAAGAATCCCGAAGTCCAGAGCAAGGCAACCGACCCTCCCTGCTACTCTGCTATTTGTGTGTGCAAGGACAAGGGAGGACCTATAAAACCACTTGTCTATTAGTCAAGTCCGAATGGGGGCAAGGCCCAGCAGCATACTTCTTCCCCAAAAGAGCAACTTTTTTTTTCCATTTTATCATTTCAAGATACACTCTATGAAGGCAAAGCAAAATGTTTAAAAAGACCAGCACAGGTGGTGGGACCGCAGCGACATGCACACCAGGCGGCATGCTCTCCAGCTGCGGGTGTCTGGCAGACCAGGGGTTACAGCAGTCAAAGATCCCTGGGGACCACAGGAAGGAAATTCCCTTTCCTAAACACCAACCCTCTCAACACCCTCTCCCGCCCAGCCTGGCAACAGCAGACGCCAAAGGATAAAGGGGCATTAAAAAAAAAAAAAAAAAAAGTGAAGTAGATTCTTAAGAGTAGAGCACAGCATTCTGTCACCTGCTGCAAGAAAAGCCCTCCCCGTCACCCAGCCCTGAGTCACTTCCCCTTTCTGCACTGACTTGTCAATGCTCGCAGGGGCAAGAGACCCCGGGCCTCGAGAGCAGATACTCGCAGCCCTCACGACCCCTCAGACACGCTCTCTGGGCCTCCCCCCACGGTGCGTCCCAGCGGCTACCAACCTGCTCTTTGCGCCCAAGCCAGCGCCACTGCTACCTTAGCTAATGGCAGGTCTGAATGAAAGGAGCCGAAGCAGGCTCCGGATTTATGAATGTGCAGGGGAGGGATATCATGTGACAATAAAGGAGAGCGTCTTATTCACAAAAAAAAAAAAAAAAAAAAAAAGTGGCTGGTGGCGGGCACAGCCACTGAACAGCGGCGTCGGCCGCCGTGCGGTGATCACTCGGACCCGAAGCCGACGACCTCAGGCGCCGGGCCCAGGAGCCCTGCCTCCGCTTCTCCCCTGATTGGAAACGCCTCGGGCGGGGGTGAGAGAAAGCCAAACCCGATTCCGAGGCCGCGAGGCTGGAGGGAGCCTCACCTTGGACGGGGGCTGGAAAACGGCACCGATCCCGCGGAGGGCGGCGGGTCAGCCCCGGAGCCCCTCCGCTGCGGAGCGCCCCGAGCATTGTTCCCCTCGGGCCCGCGGGCCGGGCACGCATGCCTGTGCACGCGCGCACACACACTCGCACACAGATACACACACACACACACACACACACACACTGGCCCGCAGCACATTGCCCCACACGCTCCCGCCCGCCCCCGCAGCACACGACTCGGATCCGCCCCCGAGCGGCCCCGATCCCGCGGGGCGCCTATCCCGAGCCCCAAAGCGCGTGCACACACGCTCACACGCGCCGCGGGACCCCTCCGGCGGCTCCCGCACCGCGACCTGCCTTGGGATCCCGGCTCACGCAGACCCCCGCGCAGCCCGCGCCCAGTCCTCCCCTCGCTCCGCCGTGTTTTTTATGAATGAAAATGTGGTATGCAAATGAGAGCGATTCAAGAAAACGAAATGGCGGAGCCTGGGCCCCAGTGGGCTCCCTAAGGGACCGGGGGGCGAGCGGCGGGGCAGGAGTCACAAAGTCACTATGTGAAAACCCACCGACCCCAGGAAGCCGGAGCGGGGGTGTCAGGTCTTTCGCTCCGGCCGCGGAAGATTTCGGGGGGGAGGGAGTGTTTGTGAGTCCCCGAAGGAGCGGGGACCGCCCCGAGGTCACCCGCGCGCCCTTGGCCCCCGCCGCGGCCACCAGCCCGCCGACTCAAGGCGCGCCCCCGCCGGCCCTCAGCAGTCTTTGCCCCCTCCTCACTTCAACAACAAGGCGGGGAATCTTGCATCCCAAAGCCCACAGGCCGGCTAGTAGCTGCACCCCACGCCAAGTTCACCCAAGCAGCGTCCCCGCCTGCGTCCTCAGCCCCGTCCCCCACGCTGCCCCCGCGGGGCACCCTCGTCCCACCCCGCGGCCAAACTTACTCGTCCGGGTGTGTTTCTTCGGTCATTTTCCTGTTCACCTAGACGCCTGTCCCGCGGCGGGCAGCTTTGCTCCCTTCATCTTCCTGTCCGCTCACCCCCCTTCTTCACATCTCCGGAGATCGCCTGATTTGGTTGGGGAGGGGGAGCGGCGAGAGATGAAGGGGCGCCGCAGAAGGCAGAAGGGGAAGCAGGCGATAGGAGCGCGGGGTGAGGTTTAGGGAAGGGGTGCAAAGGCAAGCTGCGGGAGGAGTGAGCGCCGCAGCGCCCGGGGCTCGGCAGGAGGGGCTCCGGAGGCTCGGCAGCGAGCAGAGGGGGAGAGATTTGGGCAGGGGACGGCGGTGGGGGAGACGAGGAGAAAAACAAGCGCGCCGTGGAGCGGCGGGGACTGCTGAGAGGAGGAGGAGAGGAGGGCCAGCCGCGGGTGGGGGCTCGGTCCGGGGTCGCCCCCGGGGGCCTGGCCAATCACGGTTCCGGGGAGCGGTCGGCGGCCGGGGGAGGTGCGCCTGGGAGGCGGTGCAGGGCGCCCCGTCCGAGCCCCATCTCTCGACTCCACCGATTTACTCCATATTGGATTCTCACCGCCGCCAACAGGAGGAGGAAGTAGGGCGGAAGCGATGACGTCTTCCCAGCGGCCAGAGGTGGTGGAGTGCAAAAAGCTTCCTACTTGCGACCGAAAGAAAAAAAAAAGGGAGAAAAAAAAAAAAAACTTTGTCCCGCCTACTGAGCATGCTCGGCTTCCTTTCCCCCTCCCTCCTGGCTTCCACTCCCGGAGGAGCCTCGGAGCGGAGTTGTTTGTGCGGCGTCTGTGTGGCTCCGGATCCTTTTTCGCCAACGCTCCGGGTTTTAAGAAGCCGGAGAAGAGGGAGGAGGCAGGAGCCGGGGACTCGCACACATCTGGCTCCAGTTTGGTTCCCTCCCTCCATCCAAACCCCTGGATTAAAAATGGTGGGGGACGGGGGCGGAGACGCTGAGTTGAGGGGAGGCCCAGAGGGGTGTTTGGGCTCAGAGGACCCAACTACCCTCCACAGTTCTGCGGGAGGGTGGGGACGGCACAGGTGTTTTGCCAAGGTTCTGAATGGCAGAGGCTTTTCAATTGCTCATGAATCTTGTGATCTGTTTTGTCTTGCTAGTGGAGGGGGCATTTTCGAGGAATCGTACATTAAAAAAAAAAAAAAAAGGCAAATCCAACACAGCCCAGAAACGTTTGCATTTCAGTAGAAATGATGGACTTCTTCGGATTAAAAGGTAAACCCAAATACATTTAAAAAATTATTTAGTAAACCACTCTCGTGTTGGAGGATGGCTCTTGTCCCAGACCCTTGAAGGCCATAGTTACTGGGCCAGGGGTTACCAGCCCAGTGGGCTTTTGCACAGATGAGGAGATAGAGAGCTTCTGGATCACCCCTCCCCCCCCCCCAGTTTGTCTTTAAATGATTTTTCTTGTTTTGGCCCCGGGACCACGGGGCTGAGTGGGCCCATACTCTCCAAAGCAGCACTGTCTGGGCAATGGGTAAGGCTGGCTTCCTTGGCATGCAGTTGCACAGGGATCTTTACTTGGTTTGATGTTTGGCTGTTGCAGTTTTGAGATTTTTTATAGTGTTGGAACAAGGGGCTCCACACTTTTACTTGCGGTGGGTCCCACAAATTACATAGCTGTTCAGTATTTCCTTCGGGGGGTCTTGCAAGAGAGCAAGAGGTAGAGTCCCTGCCCTTTCCTGCTCTCCAAGCACAGTACATTTTTCCACCCCACTGAATGTGCCAAGAGAACATGCTGAGATTTTAACCAAATAGCAGCCACTGAACAAATTAAGAAATTAAATATATGCCTCAAATGTAGTATACCTAAAGGGTATATGTATGCATTTGGAGAGCCACAAGTGTTCCAAAGATAGTAACAGTATCACCTTGAGTCAAGGAGAAACGAGTGGTTTACCCTAGGCTTCATGCCTATCACAACCATGATCTTTGTGGACATGGATTGGGGTTCACTCACCTTTGATGCTGAGTGCTGGTGTGTAGTGCTGAAAAGGGAACTAGACAAGGGAGAAACACCTGGGTTTGTTTTTTTCCTAGCAGGCCTGAGACCTTGAGTGAGACTTTTAGCATTCCTTCAGTTTCTTTATAAAACAGGGATAACAAGGACAATCTTGTCTTTCTCAGGTTTTGAGGCCATTGAGAGTCTCTGAGAAAGCAGTGAACAAAGGAGCATCTCATTGTTCTCTAAATCCCCATAAGGCAAAGGCGTCTATCCAGTTCTCACCTTTGGTCATTGCTTTTCTCCTGGAGGTGCTGAAAGAGATCCCACTCAGTCATTCCTGAACTTGCAGGAACAGATATTTGTCCATGTCAAAATTTTCCACCCAATGGGCATCTCTATGGCTCCACCCTCCAGTTTCAGAGTGCCCAAATGGCAAGGTGGCAGGTAAGTTGATTATTAGTTTCTACAGGTAGGCAAGTGAATCCGTGTCATCACCACTCATTCATCCAGCTCCCTGCTAATAGCAGTGAATGACTGCCCCAGATGGCAGACCAGGCAGCAGAGGAGCAAAGGAAAACATTCTAAAGTCCAGGAGTCACCAGCTCCCCACTTGGATGTCCTGATGCCAAATTCCAGCAGGTCCTTAGGTTCTCTGAGCCTTGGGTAAAACACCTGTAGTGTCAGGATAATACCCACAACATAGGGCTGCTGGGAAGAATGAATGGCTACAGCGAACGTACTGTGTTAAGCAGCGCACTGCAACTAGATGAATGGCAACCCTTTCTCCTCTGTAGCCAATTGTATTACTAAATGCCACCCTCCTTCACTCAGTTCCGTCATGTTCTTTTAAAGAAATCCTTTCAGTTCTCTTCTGCCTCGTTCATCACCCAAAAGGGGCTTTTTAATGGAAATGTTCTTAGCAGGTCACCTCTTGGTCTTCCCCATCAATTACTGCGACTCCTGCAGCTCCATCGAATAAATGGTGGTATTTGGGCGAATAACTCAGATATGTTTATTGATCTGAATATCAGGGTATTATCAAAGTCTACTAAATTGTTACCAGAATAGCGGGTATCACGGATTTAGGGCTTTAATTTAATGACATTACTGAAAGAGCTAAATACCCACATCCGTGTCTCTCCCCCACAACCAGCAAAACAGGGGGCGGGCAGCTCTGAACACGATCGATTCAAGGGTGTCGACTCAGAGTGAGATCGTACAGCTTCAAAAGTAGAGTCGATCTTCTCACAACTTCACGCACACCCAGCGTAGCCCCCAGCAGGACCCCCGCCTACCCGCCCCCAAGCCAGAGTCGGGGGCGGGGAAGCACCCCCACCCGGGTCCTTCCGCCAGCCGCCTGGAAAGCCCGGAGCGCGGAACCGGAGCGACCCTCGGCGGCCACGGAACGGGCATGCTCAGTAGACCCGCAGGTCTGGTTTCACTCGGAAGCCGGCCGCGTCCCCCGCTCCCTACCGCCCGGCACGGGCGCCGAGAGAAGCGGACATTTTTTCTTTCTCCGCAACCGGCTCTCTTTCGTGTCCTTCGCCCCTTCTCTGCGTCCTGCCACCTTATTTGGGTCCGGTAGGGGCCGCGAGTGTATATCTCCCCGGGGTGGGTTTGGAAGTGGGATCTGATAAATCACTCCCCCCCAACCCCCAGAGGGGCGCGCGCCCAGCTGGGGTGATTTGGGGAGGACCCAGTTGTGCCCTAAGGTTCGTGCGAACCGGCCCGGCCGGCCGAATCCCCCATTGCCGCGGCGCCCTCGCTCCCCGCTCCGCAAGGCGCGCGCAGCTGCGGCCCAGGCCTGTCCTCACCTCACCCCCATTCTGCCCCTTCGGTATTTCTCAATGACCGGCGCTCAGAGGACACTTCCGACGGGGGAGGGAGCGGGTATCATTAGCGCTCGGTTTATCAGTTCCTTCCGGTCTGCCCGGAGCCCAGCCCCGCGCGCTGCTCGGCAGCGCCTCGGCGTCCCGGTGCCTTTATTATGTTTAAGTAAGCGGTCGTGTGTGCCGGTGTGTGCCAAGTGAGTTTGTAGCCCAGCTGTCTCTCCCAAGACCAGCCGGCAGGAATGGAAACCCAAGCTCTCGTAATAAAGGGGATGATGCAAACTTAGAAACTGACCCGGCGCCCGGGAATGGTGCCCCCCGCCCCCCTCCCCCGGCGCGGGGCGTCCCAGTCGGGGCATGAATGGCTGGAGCCAGATTGCATAATCTACATGGTATAAATAGCCGGCGGGCGGGCCGCTGACGCGCTCGCTCGTACCGTTATCGTGCCATACTTCATGCCCCGATGCAGCTCACTCCCAGCTCATTTTCCCTTTCTGCTGCACTGCTGGGATTTTAAGTAGCAGAGATGAAAGGCTCTTGTCCGTGCCTCCCTCCTCCCTTGAGGTCATATATTATGAATGAAAGGCCAACCTCGCTGCTTTCCGAGGTGCCCCACTTCAGGTAGGAGACAGGCTCAATGTCAAGTGCAGCAGTCCACCAAAATGTGTGTGTGTGTGCGCGCGCGTTGGGGAGGGAGAGAAAGCCAGCAGGAGTGAGTGACAGGGCTGGGAAACCTGGTGGAGAAAATGTAACCGCTTAGGGTTAGCCTCTGGAGTTTCAGTTTACACCTCTACCAGCCTCAGTCAGTTTCAGAGCGGATTACTCAAAGGGTCTTTCGACCGTGGCTGCTCCCTCTCCCTACATAGGCCGCCGCCTCTTTTGAAGTGCTGTTTCATTCGCAAGAGCTGGTTCTCTCTTCCCTTTGAGGCAGCAAACATCCCTGACTGTTAAGTGCCCTGGCGACCTTTGAGGCTGGGGAGAAAGGCTAGTGCAACGAGTCAGTTTAGCCATTCTCTAGTTCTAGAACTCTTAGAAGACTCAGCTATGTCCAAAGCGGAGGAAGTATAAAAACTTATACTTTGCAACAAATATTTCACAACTATGTGGCCATTTTAAAAATGAAAGTATGCAGAGGGTTTTCCCCCCTTCTCTTAAACAAGTTTCAACTTATTTTCTCAAAATAAAAAGTACCAGTTCTTTGCCAACGGGTTTCTGGCATGTGAAAGGCAATAAATAGGTTCCTTATTTTTCAAATTGCATGCCCATTCCTCCAATCTCCACTCAAAGTGTGGGTACTCTGGGAGGCAATGAGGATACAGACGTGAATGAACCTAGGTTCCTGCCCTCTAGGGGTTAGGTTGGGTGGGGCAACAGGCCTGTAAAGAAAACTTTAGGGCAATGGAGTACCCCTCTAAAACACGGAATAAGCCCATATAGAGAAAGCAGAGCTCCAGGAAAGGAAGGCTTTGGAGGAAGGGGTGTTTGAGCTGGATCTTGAAGGGGGGTAAGAGTGTTGGTTAGATAACTGGGAGAAGGGCCTCTGGAATAGCCCAGTGAACACAAAGGCCTTGAGGTGTGAAACAGTGTGGGGGAGTGTGGCAGTAACAAGCCCTTGAGAAGGCTAGGAACCAGGTCAGGGAGGCCACATAGGCCATGCTAAAGGACCTTCAACTATCCTGAAGTCATGGAACCTTTGTAGCTGGTTCGCAGCTGATCTTTGTCAGTCCCACTTCTTTGCAGTGGCCCCATAGTTATGCAAATGTGGGGCAAGTGGACATTCATTGTTGTAGGATTTAGGCCATAAAACCACATTCACAAACTGATAGCCCCTGGGCCAGATAAAGCCCCAGACAAGTTTTGTTTTGCCTGCTTTAAAAAA